GACAGTACAGCCTTTCTCTCGCCTTCAGCCCCCAACGTGGTGACTCGATGCAGCTAACAACAACATACATACACACACTGCTGAGGGTTTCTTGTGCATGCACGCACACACACACATACACACACACACACACACACATACACACACACACACACACACATACANACACACACACACACACACACACACACACACACACACACACACACACACACACACACACACACACACACTCACACACACACACATAAACATAAACACGAAAACAAAAGCAATAGAACAGCCTGCAAGTGTTCTGCGGTGTCCTTGCCTGGAGGGGATAGGTCAGAGTGAGTGCAGCGAACTTGGATATTGCACCCCACACAGCCGGCAGCCCGGCAGAGAAAGAAGAAGAGTTTTGTAAGACGCTGGCGCAGCACACAGACAACACAGCAAGCAACCCGTTAAGGGCCCACACAGAGATAATACAAAGCAGAGATATCTCACAGCAAGAACTGATAAACACTGCACATGCAACTGGCAACACAGCACAAAGCAAAGCACACAAAGATTCAGCTGCAGATACACTGCGGTTGTTTTCTTTACAGAGCCATTCACTACTAGTTAGTGGCCAACAGGACAATATAGAAAGCACACAGCTTTCATACAGAAAGAATTAATGTCAACATATATTGAACGCATAGCCGTGGGCGGTGTTTTGTTTACTGTTTTCGCTTGAGCCGCTCATAAACTGCAATTTGAATTGCTGCGTGCGGTACTAAGGCTAAGGCGGGGCCAATGCCCTTGTAAGATTCTCTCACACCACCGCGGGCGGTGCTCATTATGCAACTGAAGCCGTTGCGAAACTGAGGCCAACCGGAAGCCTGCACGATGACGCAGCAGACGCACCACACAAACAGACCTCAATCAACCGTCTGGGAGACAAGCAAGTGCAGCAGGAGAGAAACACAGAAATGAAAAAGATGAATCAGCTAAGAAAGAAGAAACCGACGTGCGATGCATTACACAGAAATTTGCACAGGCAGCCAGAGAAACTCAAATAAACAGTCCATATGCCGGGGGAGAGGGCTACACACACAGACAAGCAGGGATGCACGGGTGCAGAGGGAAGAGGAGAACAGCAAATTATGAATTATAAGGCGGTGGTACGCTAAGCCGTATAGGAACACATATGCTGCTATCTGTGCAGATACTACATGCACGTGCTCAGTTGAAACTCAGATGCCAACTAGGTGTGAGCTCTTGCACTGATTTCTTCTGCAGTTTGCTTAGAGATCACTACTGCCACCAGCTGAGGGTAATATCGTTTCAAGACCGTCAACGAGAGAGAAAAGTCGAACTTCGTATAACTAACAACTTGGCTGCAGTGAGGCGACACACACAGACGCCACGCCTGCTGACCTCTGCTTCCTTTGCCTGCATTTCCATTCGCGCCTTGGCGAGCCACAACGGGTGCGTCAGACAAGTGACGAAAAGGCCGGCGACGAGGCCACTTGCCTGAAACGCGAAATGCAGAAGGGTATACAGAAGTAACAAGTTGTATGCACAACTGCTAAAGAAATCAACGGGAGACGGACAAGATCCTGGGCTGTAATGAAGTATTCTATTATTATATCGACTTTATTGCGGGAAACCGATGTCGGTGAAAGTAAAAAAACAAAAATGAAGCTAATTTGTGCACGAGTGAGTAAAATGTCCAAGGCGAACGCTCAGGTATAGTACACTGTCGGCGGCGAAAGCTCAGGTGTATGCACACCACATCGTCGAGCGATGTCCGCTTCGTCACTTCATTTGTTTTGCTCGAGGTCCCGCAAAGGGCTTCGCGCCAAACAGGAAAGCTGGCACCAAGTTGATCGAAACTGCAGCAGGGAGCAAACAAAAACGTAAACTATCCATTCATTTATTCTAAGAGAATAGATAAGCAAATGCACAAAACAAAACAGGATTTGATATTTGTTGTTCAGTCACAAGTAGGAAGCCGAACACTCATCCTAACGGCTCGATGAAGGCAATGCATCTTCAGTACGTTCGCAAAAACCAAGAGTAACATTGCCTAAGTTAACTCATAAGCAGAGAATCTAGACAAGGTTTTGTACTAGAAACCGACAGAGATTTCACCATATTCGAGTGGAAAGTTTCCTGAAACTCCACTGCGGCGTTCAAGAAAAGTTGCTGGACAGAAGCAGTTTTGAAGAAAAAAGAACGTACACGTATCTGAAACATGTCCATGAGGTAGAAGAGGCTGCAGCTGTCAATCCCACTCCTTTCCAGAGCCCCTTGAGGCCCTCTTGTTTGTAAATTCGAGTTATTGCCGATCGAGTCGAACCGTAGAGAGGAATGGCTCCGCCAGTGACTGCAGCAACTGCATATTAAATACGAAAGCATAGAAAGCAAGATGCATCATTACATGCAGGTAAATGCGTCTATGCACGTTCTTCAGCGCAGCTATAGACGCACAAACAACAAGGAGATCTGCCGCTCATTGACCTCATAAACTGCCCAATACCCCCGATCGGAAAGCAGTCGCTTTGGCCGCCTTCGTCATCACTTCACATGCATTTCACCATTGCAGCTTGCAAACTTGTTTTGGTATTCGTCGCTGTTCGTATTTTCCATTACCTTGCATGCGAGTCTTGATGAGGTCGAAAGGATGCAGCGCGCAGCAAGTAAGCAGCGCGGCTGCCCCAGACGCCCCGGCAGCCAATTTTGGTCTATCTTCCCAACTTAAAGCTGATGGGATAAGGAAAGGTGCTCCTGGACGGTACACCGTTTCACGGTCACGTCCTGGCTGTGGATCATCCGACGTATCGCCCTTCCGAACTGTCTGCATGCAAGTGCTAATGTCAAGCTCCCCTGTGTCCCCTGCGCTCTGTAAGAGATGTTGAAGCATTTCCGCTTTAGTGTTTCCAGAGCCTGTTAGTGCAGACATTCCCACGGCCCCGGCAAGCGGTTATTCATGATGGGACCCGAACGCGATGAACCTACGCAAAGGATGCGGAACGTCTCCCAGTCTTCTTCCGTATTGTATGCAATCTATTGATCTAAATCACGTTGCTGTTTATTGCTTCTCCACACCGAAGTTTCCATCTGGTGACGAGACTGCAACTCCATTGTTTCCGAACATGTGCAGCCCTACTGAGTTGAGGAAGAAACGCAAGCACGACACCTAGACCAAGAGTAAGATTGCAAGCAATGAATACATCCGAGTGTTGCAAAGTGTACAACTCTAAGAAATTCTATGAATAATCCGGAAGCTGCGCACGCCCTACTGAGGGATTCCGTGAGGGGCCCAACGGGCTCATGCTACCGGGGCCCCCCGGCGAGGTCGCGCGAGCGGAGGTTGGTGGTGATGAGGCATCATGGAAGACAGCGACTGGTGTGTTGTTTCAAAAGCACGAATTCAGATACTTTGCAGTTTTCATCTTTTATTTCTCAGTCGCAATAAGTCCTTCGTCTCGTCAGCAGAGCCGCTGCTTCCACCGGTCTTCCGTGTGCCTCATGCCTGCCTCGTCAGTTCCCCTCACCGTTGCAGGAGTTGCTGGTGACTTCGCATTGTACGGTTCAAAAGGCTACTGAAACACTTTGGACTGCCTGATGGCTCTAGAGGGTTTCTGGTTGTGCGGTGTCTGTACTCGCGTGTAGGGGAGAAGCCCGGATGGCGCACAACCTTTGCTTCCCAGCTGCTCTAGCCGAATTTCAAATCGCGACGCAAGGAGTAGCCCCAGCACGGCCTACCCGGGCGTTAATCCCTCGGCCTATCACGCAGCTGTACCTCCCCTTCTCTTATAACAACACATATCAGTTGCGGGCCATAACGCCAACCCTCCCCGTGTACAGTTCCACAATATACATGCGGGTGCAAAAACACAGACACACGCAGGAGGCTTATGCGAGTTCGTCGCCGCATATGTCCGCACGCGTTCATTGGCCGGGTAAGACTCTTACGTAACCTGGCAACAGACTACTGTTATTTTGATTTAAGAAAGCCTTACTTGTGCTTTTCTGCATTTACGGCAGCACCGCAGCACTACGTAACAGATGCCTAGAACTAACACGGTACACGGTTTAGCGAGATATCCCGTAAGCACCAAAAATAGACAAAGAAGAAAGTTGAATCTCCAGAAAAGGGCCTCGGGCCCGGCAAGCACACACGCGAGCCACAAGTGCAGCAGAGGCGTCCTGATAGCCATAAAACGATTCATATAAAACAGCTGCCGCACTCGCAGCAGCATTAGGGGCACAGAAGACAGCAGAGACGGCGCGGAGGGGCTTCTGTGGTGAAGATATAAACCTGTGTACATCCGGAGAACCTCTGCCACCAGGTATTCGATGCAGAGACGCACACCGCACAATCAAGGCCCCATTGAGAACTACAGCAGCAGCGGCTGCAGCAGCAACAGTTGCAGCGTCCGCTACTGCGACTGCAGCGGCAACACCCCTACTGGCAGCTGCGGAAGGTGTCGTTGCCGCAGGAACAGCAGCAAAGGCCACTACTACCGAGGCGCATGCATAGCCACTCGTCTGCACTGCTGCCACAAATCTCTTTGTGTCTAGCCCTGGGTCCCTTTGCTCGTGTGTGGGCTTTTGCTGCTGCGAAAAAAAAAGACACAGCAGAGTCAAGGCCCCGTAAATGGATACAGCAGATTCTGCAACCGGAACAGCAGCAACTGCTGCAGCACTTGCTGGATGTGCATTTAAACAGAAGGCCTGTACGTCTGTAGTCTCGTCGTGTGTTGCTTTCAGCTACACCTCCTCGTCATTTATCGCAGTTTGAGTTTATTCAGCACGCTGGATGCCTTCCTTGCTGCTGCATCGATGAGCGCTGCGCCGCCATCGTCGGGGTCTGCAAAAGTCAGCGGACCGGATGCCTCAAAGCCATCAGGCGGCGGATCCGCTGTTTCGGTGAGTGTCGGTAGCGGCTCAGTTGTTGGCTCAGCGATTGCTGCAGCTCCTTGTTGCTCGTCTGCCTCCTCTGGTGGTGCCTCGTAGACCACTGGCCCCTCGGCCAGGGGTTGTTGGGGGCGCGCAGCTGACTCGCCCCGTGCAGCACCTCGTCCACCAGGAGGCACTTGAGTCAACGCATTCTCGAGCTCCACTGCGGCGTCCAATGACTTCCTTGCCAGTCTGAGGAGCGTCGCGCTCAGCTCTTTGGATACTTCCGGCACTTCCGTTGTGAGCTTAGCATACGAACAATGTGCCTTTTGGGCTTTCAGGATCGTGTTTGCTACACCCACCATGATGTTCGAAAAGATGATACGATTCAAATCGTTAGCTTTCGCCTTTTCCACGCCCTCTCTCAGCGAAAGTATGGAATCCTTCACGCTTGCTTCTGATGCAGTAAGCACACTTAAAGCCCACTCAACAGCACGGTCTTGCAGCTGATTCAGCATCTGCTCGCATTTAAACAACTGGTCCCGGAGTTCCTGAATAAGGGTGGTGCTCAGAAGGGGAGATGCTGCTTCCGTCCTCACTAGCTCCCAGCTAGATATAATCCTCTTCCCGTCTATCATTTTGTGTTTCATCTGCTCGTATACAGCGTAGCTGCTCACTTCAGCTTGCAGTAGGGCCTCCGCCTTTGCAGTCCAAGTCTTCATGAGCTTGACCCCTCTTCGGGCCCGGTTCTCTACAGCTTCCTGTGATTGCTCAGCATCAGCGTGGTGGAGCAGTTGCTGGGCTCCTTCGCCCGGGAACATGCTAGTAAGCCAAGCCACTTCCTCTGAATGCTCAGAACTTGCGTCTGAGGACGCTTCAGAATCATCTTCCATAGACCTAGACGATGCGGAGCGCCTCCTCCATTGTGCACCATCAGCTGCTTGTGCACCCTCTTCCGACGGCGTATCAGCACTTTGGATCGTCACAGTATCTGTAAATATCTCAGGAAAGGACCGCCAGAGCCGCTTCCGCTCCCCCGATATCGCCATAGAGCCCCAAGGTGACGATGGATCTGCTGAGGGGGGCTGCGACTGGCGTGGTCGGCGAGTTTCTTCGACGGAACGGGAGGAGCTTGCGATCTGTGTTTTCGTTTGTAAGTCGTGGGCGAGCACGTCAGGGAGCGTTGAGGAAGTGGACGCGTCGTCCGACTGTTCAGAAGACAAAAAGAGGTCAGCAGAAGGAGACCGCTGCCAAGGAAGCCGCGGAGATGGTACCGGCTGCCAGAGCATTGGGGGCCCCTTCCACTCAACGGTCAATGTGGCATCGGCGCCAAAAAGGCGCTTCGGGGTCTTTGGAGAGACCCGGCCTGGACCGAACCCGCAAGTCTCCAGCGCCCGTATCATCCGCTCCGCCTCGTGTTGCACTTCTTTTGCTCGCGCTTGCATGCCTGCTCGACGCATTTGCTCCGCCGTCGCCGTCAAGTCCGAGAGGAAGCCGCGCGCACGGTGAACGACAGGAGCTGTAATGGCCTGCGCAGTCGTGCGAGACTGCCCAGGCACCACGCCCTGCTGCACCAATCGTTGTAGCTCGGTGCGGCAGGAGCTGCTCTGCAGCAGAAGGTCGGTCACAAGCAGTCCCACGCGATTCACCTGGTCGCTCGTTAGTTGCGTCGGGATGCTGGTGTTTACTCCAAAGACAACATCTTTCGCGGAAAGCGCTTGGGAGGCTGGCGCAGAGATAGAGCGACCCGAGGAAAAGAATCTAGCTCTTATGAATAAAGCCAAGACGTCCTGATCCGTAGAGAACATCATCTTCAGGAGCTTTTCCTTGATGGATCCCAATTCCTGTTTCTCCAGCTCCAGCTCGTGCTGCAGCGCCATTAGCCGCGATAGAGTGCTTGACTGTGCCTCCTCCTCCGCCCCTTCATCCTCCTCTTTTCCCTTCCTTTCTTCCTGGTATCTAAGGTCCTGCACCCTCCGCGTCAGGTCGGTGGTGCGTCCGCTGATATATACGTATCTGGACGCCAACGACCGTAACGAAGCTTGCGCGTGCGCCACCTCACGCACCTCTTCCTGTGTCAGGCATTGCGCATCCGTTCGCGTCAGCGTCAGCATCTGTATCTGCTGCATCACCGCTTGTTGGGCTAACGGAGAGAGTTCAGGGTCTCCTGAGGACCTGTAGTCCTCCCCTCCCGAAGCTGCAGCACTTGACTCATCCTCCCCAGCAGGGCATGAAAATACATCGTCATCATCAGACAATTGCCGAGACGGAGAACCCGACACTTTCAAAGAAGACTCAGCACTCAGCAACGCGAAACAACGGAGAACCAGAAAGGCAAGGGCTGATATCGAGGCAATTGCCGCCAGGATGAAAAAGCGGCTACGGGGGGCCCCTGCCGAGGGAACATGCCCGAAATAAGTGTAGGGGGCCCTCGCCACATCTTCATATACCCCAAATTCGGGTATCATAGATGCCGAAGGGCCAACAAAGAACGGCGGCAGTCCCTCCGAGGGGGGGGCGGCCGCGGGATTCCACGGAGGGGCCAGTTCCGCAAGATCTAGCGAAAACTGAAGAGGGGCCGTCATCCGCCTGGTATTTTTGACGGATGGAAACGGCAGAGAGAGAGAAATGGGTAATCATGTGAGGTAGGAGGCCATCTGGGAAGATGCGGGGAACGGGGGAGAGGGAACCTCTTCAGTGCTGTTCCAAGTACCGGATTGAGACGAGAAACCCGCAGAGTCTGTCTTTTTAATGCGTTCAAATATAAAAAGCGTGATAAAATGGGTATTTTAGATGGTGTTCTCGCCCCATTTTCGGGAAAAACAAAATGCAGGTTCTCTGGTATATCGAGAGGCGGGGGGCTGTCGACTTCAAGTTTTCGTCGGGCTGGGGGGCTCGGCTGTCGTGCGCGCACTTTAATATCGCAAAGCTGCATTTAATTCCAACAACTTTACATTTTGTGTTGATTTATTTAGCAGGTTCCGTCGAAATGAGGCCTGAACTCCATACCGACAGCGACAGAGAACACGTGGGTATGTCTGCTTGTTGGGTGCCGAGGGTCCTCTGAAGCGAAACGAGCTTTTCCTGGCCGTGCTGCACCTCTAGTAACTGAATTACAGTCGTTCCCTGAAAATCTTCTCCCGTGTCCAGTGTTAACTGGCTAGCCCTTTCTGCATGTGGCTTCAAACATCCACGCGTCTGTGCAACAGTACCTTCTTGTGCTGAAAGAGTTGAAAGCTTGGCATGCAACACTTCAACAATGTGTTTTATTTAACGTCCTGACAGCCGCTTTTAATGATTTTTTTTTCTTCGCGGTTTATTCCTCGGGAACTGTCCCTTTGCCAGTGGTCGCTTGCTGGCGATGACTTGTCGCGTGTAGCGTTGACGGAGGATCTGAGTCTTTTTAGGATGGGAAAGGCAAAACAGGCTAGACAGTTAGCTGAGTTCTGAATCCTTAAGAGACGTCTCCCCTCGCAGCTACTTTTCCTCTGCCTAGGGGCTGCTTGAAAACAGGTGCAAAGGAGGACATTTGCTGCGCTCCCATAAAGGTATACGACTCATACATATTCTTGATTCAGCGCTATTTTCCGGCTACACTTTCCAAAAAAGCACCAAAGTGAGTAAAATGAATGCCAGTTTTGTATGCATGGAGCGGAAAGCTACAGAGCCTCGGGCTGCGCCTAGGCTGCAGCCTGTTGCACTCTTGAGCGTAACGCACTCAACATAGCTCACTTATTTTGACTCACTTTGAAAAGGTGAAAAAGCAGCCAGGTTATTTGCCCTGTAAGGGCCTTGAACACCCCGGCTCCAGCATTCGCTTGCCGCTTTCCGCTCGAAGTAGCAAAGAAGAAAAACATTTTTGAGGCGCTCATTCAAAGTTGGCTACTGTTATGTAGCTACCCGAACTCTTTCCAGTTTCCGGAGTCTCTACTGCGCAGATTCTCTGGTGTACAGACGCCCAGGCGGCACCGCGCTGCCGCTCACCTGACACTCCGCCACTTTTACTTTTGCGAGGAAACAGATACGTTTGGGTCCGATCTACACGGAAAGCTCTTCATGAATGACGACACGATCATTGCATGACTCGGCGCCACCTCGATACGAACAGAAGGCGAGGTGCAAAGTAATACATTGGCCCTTCACCCAAGTGCACACGACCGGAAAAAAAAATTCAGTACAGCAAAGGAGGAAGAAACCCGAACCTTAACATAGACACTTATTAACGAAAAGGAACAGTGAAGCCAATTTTTATCAAAGGAACCAAAGTTTCGACACAGAAACCTAAGTTGCAACGGAGCAGACGACGTTTCAACGGAAACCCAGTAGCTAGAAGGAAGAAGGAATCGTCGGAAGGCCTGAGAGAGCTTCGAGTTCAAGTCTTTTTTCCTCTGTTGTCTCCGACTACCTTGGGTTTATTTGCATGCGGATTCTACTTACATTTTGTACATGAGGCTTACAAATTCAATGTTGGGGTTTCATGCCTCAATGCCACAGAGCCTAGCAGCGCAGGGAGTAACTCGCCGCAGCAACGTAAACAAGCATAAACGCACACGCACAATTAGGCACAGAGAAAGAAATAGACGTACATGTACATGCATGTATGCATTATTTAACCCGTACGTAGACGCATCCTCCCAGACCCACATCGAGCGACATTCATGCATGCGCACACAACCAAAACGGTCGGGCTTTACTGGCAACGTTTTTTTGTGAAAATACGTCAAATACAAAGTATTCCAGCAGCTGGAGAAATATCCGCCAATGAATGCTGCGACGCTGGAGCTGAAGACGAAGTCATTGCCTTCCCCTCTCCTCCCAGGCACTGGTGAACTGCAGCACCTGTGGGAAAACAGCGTGCGGTTATTTTCATCGTTTAGAGCTAAGCATAGGGGTCCAAAGAACCAAGATAGGGTCTTAAAAGTGCTGTATCAAACGTTGCAGCAGCAGCAGGAGCAGTAGCAGCGACGCCAGATCGTGCTGAAGCAGCGAGCTGGTCGTGTGAGCGCTTCAGTCTTGGGCATGAAACGCTTCAACGTGGCATATACGGCGCAGGCATAATATCTAAGGTTTGTTTTTGGGGGGTTTCCACTGTCAATGTTCGTATACTTATGTTGGTTTAGAAGACAGCAGAGTACTGTGGCTCATCTGCCTGCTTCGGCTGTGGGTCGTCTGTCGTACAGTGCTGTGAACGGGTTGTGCTGCGGTTTGGGGTCTCTCTACAGAGATTTTGAACTTGGTGGGCGAAGAGAGAAAAACGCATTGAAAATTAAAGCAAAGGAAGTGCATTAGCAAAGAAATGTAAAGACGCTGTAATTTTTGCTTGTTTTAATACGTTCGGCTGTGGCCGACTGGGGGGCCCCAGCCCCTGTGACAGCACATCTGCCCAGATGGGAGGTGAGGGGTGAGGGAGGAGGGGAGGCCGCGCTGAGAAGCTGCGACATTTCTTCCTTCCTTTTAAAACCCTTTTTCGCGTTGGTGCATGCGCAGAAGAGCGGCGAAACGCAGCAACTTGCAGCTCCCAACGTGCTGGTCTGCCTCGCAGACGCACCGACCGCAGCCGCAGCCGCAGCCGCAGCCGCAATGGTCGTCACGAGGCAGGGCACTGTCACCTCTCCCGCAGGTCCGCCT